CAGCGCTGTAGGCATCGAAAATTGCCTATAGGTCTCCACGAACAGTTCAGTGTTAAAGAGCGACGATGAACGTCACTATCCGATCCACAGAAGTCCAATTGACGTCGATGAATGATAAACACGTAAAATATGCATTATCTTAGTGTGTTTTAAGCATGATTTACGAGTGTTTAATGCATATTTCGTGTTTAGATCGAGGATACTACTGTGGTTTGTGTTCTTATATGTAGGTATTGGCTCAAGATTGAAAGATTTGATGATCATTGGAAGTTTTACAAGAGTTTGAAGCAACAACAACATTTCGAAGGCATGGTTCGTGAAGAAAATGGATGCACGAATATTAAGAACTAGAATTTCGACCCTGATGCAGTTTGAATCAAGAAAAACTCAAAAGATGAAAGTTGTAGATCATTTCAACAGGATTCCAATGCAACTTGAATCACCTCATTCCGAGGTCGGACGCAAAAGTTATAGCCAAAATACCGAAAACTAAAGAAACAAGCACAAAATCAGCAAAACAGCCCCTACCACACCCTGGTGTGGTGCAGACCACACCGGTGGGGCGAGAATTAGTTATTTTCCAGATTTTTAGGGACATATAAATAGATGTTTTGACTTAGGGTTTTGGATATCTTTTGTTATGTTCTTCTAGCCATCAACTAGCAACTATTCTAGGGTTCAAGTATTGAAGGAAGACATTAATCTATTGTAGAAGATTGCAAGTTCTTATTTTGAAGATTTCAATTGAAAGACGGGTTAATTCTTTCCTCTCTTTGATTTATTTTTTCTTATGATTGATTTGCATAATTATTTGATGTCTTCTCTTATTCCAATCATGTGTGAGTAGATTTCTTGTCTAGGATTGGGAAAGAACCTTTGATTTGGATTAGCATAAAGCTTAATGAGTTTAATTTAATCTTGATTCCATGAAAGTAGGTTAATTGAGATTGATTAGGCACGATCTTTAGACCTTGAAAGAGGCTTTAGATTAATTTAGGTTAATTCACCCTTTCTAGATTAAACCAACACCAAGAATTGAAATAATTCATCATTGAACACCTAAGTTGTGGTGATAACCCAATCCTAGTCCTTCATTATATTGAATTCCATCCGATTAGTTGTTTATTTTATTTCTTTTATTAAATCTCTTCTAATTTACTCATTAGTTTAGCTAGTCTAATAACGTGAAATTTGGTAATTAACCCTAGTCCCTGTGGGATCGACCTTGATAGCTACAACGAGTCTGTGCGCTTGCAGATTTTGCCAATCAAGTTTTTGGCGCCGTTGCTGGGGACTACGGTGTTAATATTGATTGCTTACGTTATTAAGCTAGACTAGATTTTTTTAAATTTCTCTTTGCTTCTCACTTTCTTTTATGCAAGGGCATCAAACAGAATTACATGACGAAAACAATCCTGAACTATCGGTGACTCTTGCAAACATAAGAAGGTCTATAAGGGAGCAAAGGAACACAGAACAAGCTACGATGGGAGATCAAAATCAGCTTCTTAAGGATTTCGCAGCCCCAAATGCTCAAGGCACACAGTCAAGCATTACAAGGCCCAATGTTGAAGCTAATAACTTTGAGCTGAAACCATCACTGCTCTCAATGGTTCAGTAGAATCAGTTTGGAGGAGGTGCTACTGAAGACCCGAACCTCCACCTGTCGATTTTCTTGGAGTATTGTGACACTTTGAAACTTAATGGAGTGACCAATGATGCTATTCGACTCAGATTATTTCCGTTCTCTTTAAGGGACAAAGCTAGGGCTTGGTTACACTCATTGCTAGCTGGGTCCATCACCACTTGGGATCAATTGTCCAGAGCGTTTCTTGCAAAGTATTTTCCTCCAAGTAAAACAGCACAGATGAGGAACCAGATCACAAGCTTTGTACAGAAGGAAGGAGAGTCACTTTATGAAGCTTGGGAACGCTACAAGGAATTACACCTTCTACAACGAGCTCACTTACAACACACGGATGACTGTTGATGCTGCTGTAGGAGGAGCTTTGATGAACAAAACAATAGACGAGGCATACACTCTCATTGAAGACATGGCTCAGAATCACTATCAATGGGCGAACGAGCGTGCTCCTCAGACATCAAAAGGAGGCAAGTATGAAATAGATGCTTTAGACCATATATCCTCTAAAGTTGATGCTTTGTTTAAAAAAGTTGAAGGCTTGAGTATTAATTCTGTGGCATCTACTTCAATTTCATGTGAGATATGTGGCTATGTGGGTCATTCTGCACTTCAATGTCAATTAGGAAAC